ATCCTATTTTCATTGAAGGGAATTCCAACTCCTGGCAACTCTCTACTGGATTCCGAGGCTGTCAGTCTCTGCAGGAGGAGAGTGCTCATCTTTCTCTCAAGGAATGGCTGGTGGATTCCAGCTGCCAGTCTCTGGGGTAGCAGCCTAACACTTTCCATACTACATTATAGTGCCTACATACTAAAAAGGCACCTTCTTCCCACCTCTGCCACATACTTAACGGTACAGATTGCTTCCACTTGGCCCTGGTCCTAGATGTCAAATACACAAACTGAGTTCAATGAGTGCCGCATGGCCCAAGCCACTTCACCTTTTTGAATCTCTTTGCTTTTGTGTAAACTGGAGATAAAGAAATGCAGTATTGACCTAACAGGGCTGCTGCAAACATGAGCAATATTATGTTTCAAAGCACTTTGCAGTGCACCTGGCTAATCACAGGCATCCGATCATGGAGACTGCTACTATCACATCTAAAGTTAGTATTACAGACTTGGACTAGCATAGCTGCAAGGGTCTTTGAACAGTCACAGAAACCAAGGTCAGAGAACAGTCTCTCTGGGTCATAGAGCGAGCGAATGATGACAAAGCCAGGACTCGGTTCCCTTAGGACATGGTGGCATTTACAGCCGGGGGCCCTGAAGTGTCCAGTGGCGAAAAGGGAGCCCTGGATCTGAATCAGACATGAGCTGAAGTCCTAACTCTGTCACTGTGACCTTTGTTGAGCCATTTCTCTTTTACAGGCAAAATTCTTCTAGAATCACCTCATTTGTACAAATTTTTCTCCATGGTTTATGGGCTCTTGCTGGTCTCTGCCACCTGGCTCGCTCCTATCAAAGAACTGGATACGATCCTCTCTAACTGTTGTTTTATTGTCTGTCATCCTAGCAGGACAGGTGCTATGTCAGTCTCCTTCAGTCTATGTCCCCAGTACTGTGACTGGCACAGAAATGCAGCTCCATTAAAAACGTGCTGAATGGAAAACGTGTTCATGCATGGTTGAATGAAGATACCTGGCTTTGTAAACCTTCACAAGAATCACAATTAAAAAAATAAACACATAAATAAAAAGGCAACCTCCTTCTCAAAATAGGTAGAATTGTGATAATATGATCAAATAATAACTGTTCCTCCTTTTTATATTTTCAACCCGTTCCATAAAAATACGATAGTTTAAAAAGCCCAAAAAGTTGAGTGTGTGAAGGTGCTTGATAAATGTTTACTGACTAGTAAGCTGCCTGTTATGTCAGACACCATACATACTTCATTTCTGCTATCTTCAAAATAGTAAGAATTACAATGAAGACTTATTACCCACTGGCACTCTGCATTTTCTTTCAATCCTTTTATCAACATCTGAAGTTGTTATGTGCAGAGTCGCCTGTAACTCACAGCGACCATACGTACAACAACTCTGAACCCTGCTTTATCCTGTGCCAATCTTACTGTCTCGGACACACCTACCTCCAGTCACTGAATCAATCCATCTCATCAAGGGTCTTCTCTCTTGCGCAAAGGAGGAAGACATCTAAAGTAGATGCATTTATTTATTACCTCCATTTCAGATGAAAAAAAAAAAAACAGAACATTTGAATCATTTTCCCAAAATCATACAGAGTGTGACTCTGACCTTGACCCAGGGCTGCCTGACTGCATGTTCTCTTTTCCAAGCACTCCTTTTTAAAAAAAGCAAATATCTGTGACACTCCACTTACTGCCATCAATTCAGAAATGACTCATAGCTGACTCTCTTTGGGTTTTCTAAGGCTGTAAATTGTATGGGAAGACACTGCCTTTCTTTTGCTGATGGATTCGAACCACCAGAGAGGCCTGGCCACTGGATTAGCAGTGTAACTCTCCTCGATGAGCTAGACCACCAGAGCTCACAGTGACCCTGTGACACTAGAAGGAAGCTCCCAGACTGCAGCGGGAGGGAGGCTGCTGCCCATGACTCACACTGGTAGTACTCCGCCCGGCCGCTCTGCAGCACAATGGCCAGCACCAGTGTCAGCTGAGGTGTCGTCTCCAAGAAGGTCTCAAAGAGCCGCAGCATGCTGATGTCCAGGGAGAGGAAGTCGCTGTAGGCCAGGTCAAACTCTGAGGGCACCTCCTGCCGCCATGTCAATAGCCCCTGCTGAAGCCCCTGCACACACCTGGGCAGCACAGAAGATGCCAAAGGCCAGGTTAGTGCAGGTTAGGGGATACAGGCAGAATCAAATCCCAGCTCTGTCACTTACAGGGCCTTGGCCAAGTAATCTAACCTCACTGAGCTTGCTTCCTCATCTGTAAAACGGGGACAGACACAATTACTGCTGTTCCTTCCAGCCAGGTACTGTCCCAAGCACATGACAGACCTGTCCCATCTACTCCTCAAAATATTCCCACTTTACAGATGGGGAAGCATGATCAAAAAGCTAAGAAATAAGCAGTGGGACCAGGATTTCAACACAAGGCTGTATGAATTCATAAGGTACTAGTTCTCAAATTTTCGCATCCGTAAGAATCTTTTGGGATCCTGCAGGCAACAGGATACCATTGAGAACATCTGAGCACAGACAAAATCAAGTTAGATTGTTCAAGAACAGGCACCTTAGCTGTGGAGGAGGAGGACTCAAGTGGTTAAGACTGGAAGCAGTGATCTCAATGATGCAAAAATATGGAAAAAATGAAGAGATTCTCATCTGGTCTGCAGGAGGAGCCCAGAAATCTGCATTCTAAATAAGCATTCCCCAGATGATCCCATTCTAAGGGGTGAACAAAACCTGCTTTGTGAAAGACGAGCTCAAGGGGCAAGACCTTCCATCCTGTGGGCACCGGGGAGTCCCAGAGCACATCCCAGCATAGGCAGCGAAGTCCAGCAGTCTGACTCACGCTCAGCAGAAATAGGAGATGGAAAGATGCATGATGATGTCACGCCTGCCCAGGAATGTAATAACAGTGCCCCTTCCCACCCATCTGGGGGTTCACTGAAGCCTGCATGTTTCCTCGGGCAAAACTTCAGCAGTCAAAGTTCTTCTCACGCACTCCTGGAAACTTGCAGCTTTGTCAAGACTCCATACACTATGCCACCACGTGGTGTCCCGACTTCATCCTATGATTCTGATCCCTTGCTTTTCATTTCCCCATCTCTAGAGTGTTGCCAGTTCTAAAAAGAAGCACCACCCAGACACATTCTCTGAGATACTACCCAGGGGGACACAAAGATGCGTCAGAAGCCAGCTCTGCCCTCCTGCTCTGTCTGAGATGACAGGGAGTAAGTGTGCAAGGAGACTAAAGCTGGAGTTGGGGGCGGTGAAGATGAGAGGCAGGCAGCTGTGAGGGAACAGCACTGCTCTGTGGTCTGAACTGCTTGCATTCCCAGGTAATCACAATGCCAGCTGACATTTACTGGATGCTTACTCTGTACCAGGAAATACAGATTTTATTAATGCTCACAACACTCTGAGGTAAAATTACCATTCCCATTGGAACAATGAGTAAACGATCCTGGCAGGGCAAGTGACAAATCCAAGGCTCTGCTCAAGCTACAAGAACAGTTGGGTTTTGAAGGGAGGCTGTAGATCTTTGTCATTACAATAGAACCGCTTTCCTGCCCAGCAATACTGTGCTAGACATGTTCCACTTTCTCTCACCCTCATAACAGGCCTCTTACCATACCATCTCTAGCCTATCATCTTTTTTTTATAGAGGAGGAGGAAACTGAGGCTCCGAGAGATAAAGACATGAGATTATAGATGGCAAAAGCAAAACTGGACCCCAGAAAGTTTGGCTTTGTCTCAAAGCCCATTCATCTCCCTTTCTTCCCTGGGCCTCAGTTTCATGACCATACAATGATGGATAGATTACAAGGCCCTAATCTGGGACAGTGCTGAAGAGCAATGGTGTCAGTCTAGAGACTAAGATGCACCTGATCCAGGCCATGGTCTTCACAATTCCTTGCAACTCATCAGAGAGATGGACAATGATTAATGAACGATGACAGAAGAAGAATAGGAGTCTTTTGAGTTGTGGTGCTGGAAAAGAGTACTGAACATGCCATGGACTGCCAAGAGAACAAACTGGTCTGTCCTGGAGAGAGTGAAATCAAGTTGTTCTTTGGAGGCAAGGATTCTGAAGCCAGAAGGGATCAGTTCTTGGAGAACAACATCAAGTTTGGAAGGATGGATGGACAGTGAAGGAGAGGAAAACCTTGAATGAGATGGACTGATACCGTAACCGGGGGAATGAGGGTAGGTATGTCAGAGACAGTGAGATTGGCTCAGGATAGGGCAGGGTTCAGAGCTACTGTACTCTATATGCTACGAGTTAAGAGTCGTAGGTGAGTTAATGGCACACAACAACAAACATATTCAGAAGCACATCTTTCCCGATGATTTAAAATCAAGAAAGGTGTGCACCAGAGTTGTATCCTTTCTCCATACCTATTCAATCAATGCTGAGCAAATAGCTGGACTATCTAAGAAGAATATTGCATCAGGATCGGAGAAAAACTCATCAAAAACCTGCATTATGCAGATGATATAACTCTGCTTGTGAAGAATATGACTTGAAGTACTTATCACAGAAAATCAAAGACTACCACCTTCAATATAGATTACATCTCAACATCAAGAAAACAAAAATCCCACTGGGGCATGAGAGTTGGATTAAAAAAAATTACTTGGATCCAAAAATCAAGCAATCGTACCACCAGTAAAGCAATCAAAAGACATACTGCATTAGGGCAAACCTGCTGTCAAAGATTTTCCCCAGTTCAAAAGAGCATGGATGTCAGTTTAAAGACTAAGGTATGCCTGAGCCAAGCCTTAGTATTTTCCATTGCTTCCTATGGCTCTGAAATAAGGAAGATTGGAGGAAAAACTGATGTCTTTGAATTGTGGTGGTGGCAGAGTACTGACTATACCAAGAGCTGCAAAAGGGACAAACAAATCTGTCTTACAGGAAGTGCGACTAGAGTGCTCCTTAGAGCAAGAATGATGTAACTTTATCTCACTTAGTTTGGGTATATTTTCAGGAAGAATCCAACCTTGGAAAGAAACATCAGACTGGGAAAGACAAGTCAGATAAAGAGAGGAAAACTTTCAACAAGATGGACATACTCAGTGACTACCAATAACGGGTTTGAACATGACAGACATGGTGAGGATGGTGAAGATATGGCAGGATTCAGATCTGAAGTTCATTGGGTCTCTAAGAATTGTAGACTTGATGGCACCTAACCACAAATGCCTTCAGCAACAACTTCCTCCCCTTAGTCGATGGGGCGAGGCACTTAGCTCTACGTGGAGGTGCCTGCAGGGTCTGTTTCCTCTCAGCGACACAGGTGGAGAACCTGTGGTCTCCACCCCTTTCCCCCAGGTGTGAGAACTGTCAGCTCAACATCAGGAGGAGCCACAGAGCTCTGTACCCGACCCTGTCCCGAGGGCGGAGCGCTCACCTGTACAGGTAGCCCAGCTGTAGGATATGCAGCAGCGCCAGACAGCGAGGAGAGGGCTGCGAGGTGTGCAGGTCGGCGGGGTCGGCGCGCAGCCAGATCCAGCTGAAACCTTGCAGCACGATCGAGGCCCCGAGCAGCAGCGCCAGCACCAGCGTTGCCCACAGGTAGCGGCCGCTGAACCCGTACTGCACCGCAGCCCACACGTCGGTGCCCAGGTCGAGCAGGAAGGCGGCGGTGCCCAGGACGCCCAGGACCAGGTCCCGAAGGACGGTGGCGCGGGGCGAACAGGGCATAGCCCGCCAGCCCAGCTCCCTTCGCCTCTTTTCTGTTCAACCGCTCCAGCCTGCCACAGTCGGCCCGGGGTCGACGAATCAGGAAGGAGACGGGAACAGCCCTCGGGGCCGCCCAGGGCGGGGGCCTGAGGGGCGGGACTTCCCCGTCCCTCCTTGTCCGGGGAGGGGCGAGGCTGGTGGGACCCCGCTCCTGACTCGCGGTCTCCCGGACGGCCCTCCACGTACTTGAATGGCTTGGGTGCCAGCCCTGCCGCCCAGGGACGACCCCCAGCCCACCTGAACACACAGGCACCCAAGCTCTCCAAGGCCACACCAGCCGTCCAGGGAGCCTTGAGCTTAGTTTACCAAGTTTTCGGCTGTTTATTTTACTTTTGACCAATCTAAGGGCCCATGAAAAGCCCTTTAAGGGCTTCGGAGCAAACTGAAAGAGCAGAGGTTCACACCTCCCAGGAGCTAGAGAGGCCTGGCGACCTGCTCCCCTAAAGATTACAGCCTGGCAAACCTTATATAGCAGTTCTTTCTGCCCTGGCGGTTGGGATCGCTGGAATCAACCCGAGGGCACCCAACAGCCGAGGCCCAAGATGGTGGGAAGGGCCTGGCGCTTAGAGCCCAATAGGCGATCCCTCACATCTGGGACTGCATGGTTGTAAAAGACAAGCCCAAAAGGCACACTCATCCCTAAGAGGTGGACCTTACAAAGTTAAGTGTGCCCCGAATTGTGCGCCAGGGCTTGTCCCAAGAGCACTTGATTAACCAGACACATCCTTGGGGCCAAGGGGAGAGGACGGGAGAAACATTGACAGACTGCAAGTGACTTCGAACATTGAAAACGCAGACTCATTGCCCTCAAATCGGAACCAACTAATAGCTGGCCCACCAGCAGGTTTTTGGAGACTATAAATAGGACAGGGAAACAATGTTCGTCTTTCTCCGATAGAAACACTGGTGGATTCAAACCACCAGAGACCCTACATCTGAGTTAGTAGGGTTTAACTCCCCACAGACTAGGCTACCAGAGCTCACTGTTCACACATTAAAGGGATTATCACCCAGAATAAGACGTACACAGGATGTGCTTTTTTTTTTTTTTAAAAAAAAAAAAAAACAAAAACAACATGTAAAGTTTAGGAAATGTCTTGGGGATGGGAGTCTCTAGCGCTTCACATCTGGATCCGGCTGACCCATCCTAATTCACTCAGTGTAGATGGGTGCTTGGTGCTAATTCACTCAGTGTACATGGGTGCTTGGTGGGGAGGGTAGGGAAAGGTGGCAATACCCAGTCTCCAGAGGGTGATGCTGCCGTTTCTACGAGGACAGTGCTCACCTCCATCGCCTCCTTTTTACCTAGGTCACTGCGCAAGCAGGGCGCGCATGCCTATCAGCACCACGAGCGTCAGCGGGAGCCTGGGCGCAGGCGCAGCGCTGGGGGCGCGCAGGCAGGCAGCGTAGGCGTCGAAGTCCACCTCACGCAGCGCGCACACGTGCTCTGCGCGGCAGGCCTCACTGCAGGCCACATAGTCGTAGCTGACGGAGTTGTAGACGTAGTAGCGCTGCAGAGCGCGGGGGTCGCGGTGGATGAGGTCCAGTGCCGCGTGCATGGAGTGGGGCCCAGCGTCCGGAACCCCGTAGGCCTCTGTCAGCCTATACTCAAGCTCCCACTCTGGCGTTCCCTGCTCGTTGGCCCGGCTCAGGTTCACGAAGTAGGTAAACATATCCTGGAGAAGAGAAGCCTGCCTCAAACCGCTGCCTGGATCCACCACTCCTTGTTGCCGCAGATTCTTTATAACCATAATAAACGCCATTGTTACTGAGCATTTACTGGTAAGGTCTCAAGAGTGGCAGTTTGCCTTTGACCACTGAAGACTGCGGTGTACCCACCATTAGTGTCAAGGAAGAAAGACCTGATGTTTGGCAGACATCATCTAATCGGATCTGATGAGATAACACAAACTTACTATCCCTGTTTTGCAAACCAGGAAGCTGAGGCCTAACAAAGCAGAGCGTTTGGCCAGGATACTACAGGTGTTAAGTGGCAGAAGCAGAATTGGAGCCCGGGTGGTTGACCCTGGGCCTGTGCGTTTTTCTGCACCACTCAGCATGTAGATGCTCAGAAAATACTTGCAGAGTGAATGGATGAAAGGCAACATAAGAGGAACAGAGTTAACCATGGTCCAAATGACTTGCCTAGCTGAGAGGGGTTGCAGAGCCTGGAGGGGACAGGGGCATGCTCAAGACGAGTTAGGACACAGGTGCATCTTCAGGAGTAGGATCTGAATTGGCTTCTCTGTCCAACACCTCGAGTTACATGTATAAAATTGCTTCTGGTCACTTAGGGTGGGGTAAGAGGAATTGCTGTGTATGAGTAGCATCTATATGCCATGCATATTACATAACTCATTTCACTTAAACAGCTGAAACTGAGTCAGTTCTGACTCATGACGACCACCCAAGAATGTCAGGGTACAACTGTGCTCCATGGAGCTGTCAGTGGCTGAGTTTTCAGAAGTCAATCACCAGGCCTTTCTTCTGAGGCATAAACTGTCAACCTTTCTGTTAGCAGCCAAGAGCTTTAACCATTCAACTCCCTAAAAACCCTGTGAGGATAACTGACATCCCTACTTTACAGATGAAGTGAGCCACAGAGGTTTATGTGTTACTAGAACGAGATTGAATAAAACCCAGGACAGTCTGAAAAGACTGTGGGGCATGGTATGACATGGGGTAGTTTTTCCTCAGTCCCTACAGGCAATAGACCATACTCTGGAAAAATCCTCTGAACTCCACTTCCAACATTTCCTCCTTTGACTCAAGTCCTTTAGTTACCCAGCCTCTAAATGTCCTCCAGATGCTCTTAACTGTGATATCCAATCTCTCTACTTTCCACTTGCTCAATGCAAAACATCCAGTTGCCTCTTGCCTTGGCATTTTCAAATGGATATCATTTAACTGTCCAAGGTTAATAAACCCAAAGGCAAAATTCTTCTTCCCTATTTGAGTGAAGGGCAACCTCTTCTTTCCAGTGTTCAGGCCAAAAACTTTGGAGACATTCATGACCCAGTGAGAGCACCTAGGAATCCCTTAGGGAGCTCTGGTGGCCTAAGGATGAGAATTTGCACTGCAATCCTAATGGGCCTCTGAAAACAAGCTGGAGGGTTAACTATGGGTCAGTTCCAACTCAGTGGTATGCACAAAAACACACACACTCATGACGCTTTACAGAGTTTATCTTTCAATATGACTTCTCTAGCCCTTATTAGATGTTGATATGAAGATGGGTGGGACTATGCAAATATGTTGGCCTATCTACAAGAAGGTTGGCTACCTACCATTCTCAAGGAGATCAGCCAGTCTCAACAGTCTACAAGGGGATAGGTTAGTCTTTGCCAATAAATTGAAGAGCTCTAGTTGCAGAGATTGGAATTCCTTCCCCACCAGAAGAGATGGAATTCTTTGCCCAGCCAGAGGAGAGAGACCACCCCCAACCCAGTGAAATGTAGGACATGTTTGAGGTTGGCAGCAGCTGCAATGATGTACTGGAGAACTGATGTGAGATGGGACTTTGCAGGGAGGGAGGAACCGATGCTGGCAAGACCGAGAACTTTGTTGGATAATTGCATAGGAAACCAATATTGGCAGGACTGAGAATTTTGTTAGACAGTTGGGGGAAAAGTCAATATTGGCAGGACTGAAAACTTGGAAACGCTTAGAGCCTCCTGGTTGAAAAGCCTGCATGCACCTTTGGGGAGCTGTCTTGACTGTATTTTGTTATTGACTGGAATTAAACTTTTTAACTCTCCCAGTATGGTTCTGTGTAGTCTGGGAGCTATCACATTGGATTTTGGACCCTGCCAAGCAGTAAGATTGGTGTTGAGATGTAAAGAAGGAGGCATGGAAGCATGGGGACATGTCTGATCTCATGGGAATTGTTTTGTGTTACTGATGCCGTGGATGGGAACAGTTCAACCTGTTAAGCTGATAAAGGTCAGATAGGGCACTCCCCATTGAAAAGCCAAACAGACTCCATTTTATGTAGCTAAACTCCTGTATGAAAAATCTTTTGCCCCAAGACTCAGAGATGTGTCTTGAACTTCTTCCCAGAACAGTAACTGCTGTTGTCTATTATGTTTTGCACTCTGTGTACTCTTCAAATATTTCAACTGTATCTCAGCGCCCTTGAATTGTCTCAACAGCAAAATGTTATTCCTGTGTCCCTTTGCCCTTGATGTGTTTTTAGCAGTAGACTGTTGTAGCTAGTCCTGCCCCTGGAGTAAAAAAAGAGTATAAAAAGCCTCTTAGGAAGCACCAAACAGATTCCCGCCTCATTGCTGGAACTCTTCCATTGTGCCACTAATAAAGGACTTCGCCTGTAATTCTGCGGTGTATGTCTCATAATCCATTAGGCACAACACCCACCTGGCCCTTTTTATACCCCTCTTTCTCTCACATACCATATATCCAGGTCACCAGCAAACCCTGTATACTCTGCCTTCAAAATACACCCAGAATCTAACCATTGTACTCCTCTTATTACTACCCACAGCCAAATACCAGAATCTCCCAGGTAGTCTGTATCCCTTCCTAACTGCTCCCCTTGCTTCTCCATTTGCCCCTCCCCTCAAACTGTTCTTGCACGGCAGACATGGTGATTTGGTAAAATTAAGGTCAGACTATTTCATTCTTCTGTCCTAGATCCTCCAAACTGAGGGCCTTTATCATGGCCTGTGTGGTCTGACCTCTTCTCACATTCTCCCCTCTGCATTCTGCTCCAGGCACCTGGCTTTCCTTATTTGTTCCATGGCCTGTACGTGTTCTGTCACACTAAGTTCCCTGACCCATAGTTCATACTCAGTAACTATTTGTGGGATAAATGGTTTAAAAGGAGCATAGTAAGAGTGTGACTCAGCCCCACAGGTCTGAGGCTTTGCATTGGTGCCCAGTATCCAGGTTTTCTTTAAAACCCAAGTGCTTTCCTACCCAGGGGCCTTTGATATGCTTTTCATGCTCATTCTCTAGATGCCTACATGGCTCCCTTAACATCACTCAGAACTCTGCTGAGTTGTCACCCTATCTGTGACATTTACCCTCCCCACGTGTCTTAACATAGCACATACATACCCTGCCCAGCACCACCCTGTCTCCCCACCCAACTCAGTTTTTCCTTCTTAGAACTTCTCTTTGTGGCAGACTTCATTTTATCTGTTTGTTGCCTGTTACCTCCTGTGAGAATGCCAGCCTCTGGGGAGCAGTGACTTCTGTCCGGTTCTGTTGACTTAGATAACCTCTGAGCTTAAAGGAGGGCCTAGCACATGACATTTGTTGAATAAATGAAATAATTATTTCATTGCAAAGAATTCTTTGCAATTTCAGCTGTAGAAGGTGACATCATTCACTGAGTTAGAAGCCTGCCTTGGCTAAAGTCCAACCAAGTCAATATAGAGAAAATGGTTGGCACAGACCTGAGTCAGACCATAGAAGGCCTTGAGTACCAGGCCAAGGAGATCCAGCTTTCTATTTTGAGTGCTGAGAACCACTGAAGGTCTTTGAACAGGAGAGAGATGGAATGAGCAGTGCCTTGCAAAGATTGATCCTTTTTGTAATACATAGAGGACTACAGTGGGGCAAGGCTGTGGCAATGATCCATGAGCAACGGGATAGTTGGGGGGAAAACTGGTCTGACTTGGTGGCAGGATTTGGAGGTAGTTCTAAGATTCTGAATCTGAATTCTAAAAGGGTGGGGGATACATGACTTTTCTGAGGTTCAAGTCAGCAGTGGGTGGATTAGAGAAGAGTTAAAGGAGGTGATGTGTTTAGGTTGCTGCCCACTCTCTGCGTTCCCGTGTTCCCGGCAGACCCAGGGCTCCTGTTTAGGTTGCTGCCCACTCTCTGTGTTCCCGTGTTCCCTGCAGACCCAGGGCTCCTGACCTGCAGGCTCAGCGTGGCTCGGTCATACTCGATCACTCGAATACCTGGGTTGTTGGCCCCATTGACCACTCCAGGTAACGTGGTTTTCCAGGGTGTGACTCCAGGTGTGAGAAACATGACACTGATGGGGGCACCTTTTAGGAGAGAAACAGAGACTGAGAGAGGCTGGCGAGTGAAGAGGGAGGTAGGCTAGCAGCCACCCTCCCAGTGAAGTACCTTTGTCATCATAGAACATCCGGAAGCTGTCTGTGTGGTGGTGCCCAAAGAACTGGCCTGCGATGACACGATGGTGCTTCTGGACCACCTCCAAGTACCTCTCATTGAAGGCCTGACGGAACCACGCCTTGTCCCGAGTCTTCTCAAAAAACCCAGGAGGCACATGGCCGATAATGTACACCTGTGAAGAGAAGGTCCCCGGGAGGGGCTCCAAGATATCCATCCAGTACCTCATTTCCATCCTCAAAACCTGCCCATCTTCCAAAGGCAGGAAAGTGAAAAAAATGTATTGTGGTTGAGTGAACTGACTCACTGCTGCCCCTCTATTGGGTTTCTATGGCTGTAAATTGCACGGGGGAACACTGCCCGTCATTTTCCCATGCAGATGCAAGACAGACAGGCTCAAATCCCTCTCTGAAATTCTTCCCCATTCCCTCTTCCATGCCCATTCAGGCATTCCCTTTGCCCAGGAATGAATAGACCACCTGTTTTCGCACCTCTATGCCTTTGCTCCTGCTGTGTCTGCCCCCTGAAGTACCGTTCTCATTTTCATTTTTCTAAATTGTAGTCACAAACTTAAAGGAGCCCTGGTGGCATCATGATTAAGTGCTTGGCTGCTAGTGAGAAACTGGCATTTCCAACTCACCAGCCACGTTTCAGGAGAAAAATGAGGTAAGACTGCTGCTTCCATAAAGATTACACCTTGGAAACCCTATGCCTGCTCTACCCAGTAGGGTCACATGAGTCTAAATCAGCTCTCGACAGCACACAGCAACAACCCACACTTCAAAGCCTAGCTAAAAAAAAGCCTAGCTCAGGGCGCACCTCCTCCATGAAGCCTCATTAATCCTCAAAGCTTGTCTTCTCTTGGAGCTCAGGCCTTGTACCTAAGCCGTTATTCCAAGGTTTTACTACATGATGTGTGAGGTAAAATGTGCTCATTTTACTCTGAGTCATTCAGCTAACAGGACCCAGGCACTTGGCTACTATTGCAGGAGGTCGAACAATGGGGTTAAGAACATCAACTTTGGAATCAAAGTGTGGCCTGGATCCCAGTTTTGTGACACTGGGCATATCATTTCACCTCTGTGAACTTTAGTTCTCCCATCTGGAGCATGGTGATAACAGCACCTCCCCGCTGGAGTTCTGAGAGTTAGATGATCCACATATAGCACTTGAGGGAGCTCTGGCAGCCTAGTGGGTAAAGAGTTGTGCTACCAACTCAAAGGTAGGCAGTTCAGATCCATCAGTTACTCTGAGAAAGATGGACAGTGACTCCTGTGTGATTTAAAGCCTCTGAAAACCTACTGGAGGGACAACTATGGGTCATTTCCAACCTGAAAGCAATGAGTTGAAATATTGAGGTCTAATACTCAAGTATGGACTCTGCTTTGGTGTTCAATGGTGGTAGAAAGAGCACTGGCTTGATGTTTGAAGACTAAGATTCTCATCTCAACTTCACTGAGTTTTGTGTGATCTTGGAACTGTCACTAATCCCATGAACCCCAGGACCTGTTTCACAGGACTGTTGTAAGGATGGAAGGAGCACCTTCATGGTGATGCGTTGATGCAGGTCCCTTTATGATGTGGGCATCTTAGGGGAGGTGAGTGAGTTTGTGATGAAGCAGGAGATTTGTTCAGGAAGTAACCCCAGGGATGGAAGAGGGGGAGACAGGGACCCTTACCATTTCCCCTGCCTGCGAAGCATTGGTCAGCACATCCTCCAGCCACTGGAACTGCTGGGCAGGGTCGGCAATGCCAGCTGTCTGCTCATTGTTGCTATAGTACAGATTGGTGTTGAGGACCACAATTCTTCCGACCCTGCTCAGATCTGGGAGCTTCTCAGAATAGAAGGCACCTAGGGTTCACAGTCAGGGAGAAGTCTGAAGGGGTCCCCTGTCTGGCCAAATATGCCCTTTCCCCTTCCACCTTGTTCTCCCACTTTCTCCATCCCTGGCAGAAAGAGATGGAGAAAACAGCTATTGAATTTCCATTTGAGGGGCATCATGAGGTCAGTGTGGCCTAGTAAGAGCAAAGACTCCAGGCTTTCTGGGTACAAATCCTGATTCTAGTTGCTTAACCTCTCTGCACCCAAGTTTCCTCATCTGTGTGATGAGTATGTTTGCTCCTTCAGATCCACTATCAACCTTCTTCATCCAACTCTCTTGCCCAGGAGTCTGATCTGTATGGAATAAACTGGTGGGCTTTCCTGCCTGTGAGCTTCTGTTTGGGTGACCAAAGGAGGTTTCTTGTAGAAGACTGAATATCAGGGTCATCTTTGGCTGACTGCATCTTTGAACCAAAGGTTCTCAGCCATACAATTTTGCTTCCCATCCCAGAAAACATCTGGCAATGTCCAAAGACATTTTCAGCTGTCACAATCGGGGTATGTAACTGATAATACAGGGATACAGTAAACATCCTACTATGCACAAAACAGCCCTCACAACAATAAGTTTTCCTATCCAAAATATCAATAATGTAGAGGTTGAGAAACCCTGCTCTGACTGATGGTCACTGCTCCTACCTGGGGTTGTTGTGAAGAATGTAACAGCATGCTGTGGGAAGTGCCTCACTTAGTAGTAAATGTTCAGCAAATCTTGATTGCTATAATCAGCATTAGTGCTGTGAGTTTAAGAGTGTGGACTTTGGAGTCAGCCCAGGAATCTACTCACAAATCTGCCTTTTCTATGCTGTGTGACCTTACTGAAGTGATTTATATTTTCAAGATCATCTCCTTATCTTCAAAATGGGGATAAAGGTAAAATCAGATGAGAGCTTAGCATACACCAAGTTGCCCCTGTTGGTACCTTCTTTGAAGAGAGCAATGGATTCATTACTGAGCCAGGGTCTCCATAGTTCCGCTACCTGGTTGTAGATAGTGTTGCTTCCTGCTGGAAACTGGTTTTTGGGGTGAAAGTCATGATTTCCCAAAGCAGCATAGACTTTAGTATCTGGGAGGGAAAGGAAAAAGAGAAAGATACATGTTCAAGGAGCTCTGGCGGCTTAATGCTAGGGAATTGCGCTGCCAGTCCAGAGGTGTATGGTTCAAGTCCACCAGCTGCTCCACAGCAGAAAGATGGGCAATGAGGGGGAGAACCTCAAACATGTTCAAGCATTTGGTAGAGTTAGTAAATTTCAGTTGGCCCCCAGCCATCAGGGCTAATGGGAAAGAGTGATAACACAAATGAAGAACATTCAGAGATAAGAGGAAAACCACATTTGATAGCATCTAGCTGAACTTTGCTTAGATCTCAAAATGAAGAGCAGTGAGTTTCCATTCCCATTTCCTAGCAAAGAGTTCCTTGGTCAAGAAGGGCTCAGATGATGTGACAGAAAATTTCTGTTGGTGACTACTTCTGAGTCAGCTCCACCTCATAGTAACACTGTGTGTAACGGAACAAAATGTTGCCCCATCTTGTGCCCTCCTGACCCTGTTGGATGCTCCAGTCTGTTGTCGCCACTGTGCATTTGATCCTAGGGGCTCATCTTCCAGCACTGCTTTGGACAATATTCTCTTGTAATCAGTAGGGCTTTCATTGGTTAATTGTCAAAAGTAGATCCCCAGTCCTTTCTTTCAAGTTATCTTAGTCTGGAAGTACCACTAAAACCTGTCCACCACGATTGAAATACTGGTGGCAAATCTTCCAGCATCATAATAACATGCAAAACACCACAGTACGTTTGTTGTTATTGTTGTTATGTGCCATCTAGTCACTTGCGACTCATGGCGACCCTATGTACAACAGCTCTGAACACTGATATATCCTGTGCCAATTGTACTGTCTCTGACACACCTACACCCATTACCCCAATCACTGAGTCAATCCATCTCATCGAGGGTCTTCCCCTCTTGCGCCGTCCCTCCACACTCCCAAGTCTGATGTCCCTCTCTAAGGACTGGTCCCTCTTTGCAACATGCCCAAAATATGTCAGATGGAGCTTCAAAATCCTTGCCTCCAAGGAGCAGCCTGGTTTAACCCTCTCCAGGATGAACCCGTTTGCTCTCCTAGCAGTCCGTGGTACATTCAATACTCTTGAGCACCACAGCTCCAAAGTCATCAATTCTTCTATCATCCCTAGTCATTATCCAGCTTTCCGATGCATAGCACATAATTCATGGCCTGGATCAGGCGCACTTTAGTCTCCAGACATCATTACTCTTCAGAACTCAGGAGAGGTCCCTGATAGCAAACTTTCCCAGTGCAATTTGTCTTTTGTTTTCCTGGCTGCTGGTACCAAGAATGTTGATTGTGGAGCCAAGCAAACTGAAGCTGTTAGCAATCTCAGTCTCTGTGTACCAAGGCTGAGAGCTGGGAACCAGACATCTAGTCCTAGTCTGGTTGTTGTTATTTGTATACCATCCAGTTGGAAAAGAATGACCTATAGTTGATCCTCCAGAGAGTTTTAAGAGACAGTTAATTGCACAGAAGGAGAATGCCCATCTTTCTCCCATGGAGCAGCTAGTGGATTCTAATCCCATGCATTTGGGACTGTAGCCAGCTTCTTACCACTAAGCGACCAGAGCTCCAGAGTCTTAGTCCTGTTGTTGTTGTTGTTGATTGCTGTCAAGTTGAGCATGACTCATAGCCACTCTATGAACAAAAGACCTAATGCCTTTCCATAACTGTCATCATTTCTTCAAGTTCATAGAGTTTCCAGAGGCATGTGGTTTAGGAAGTGGATGCCACTCCTGCTTCCAAACCTGTTTTACAACTGGGAGCCCCACCAAAGACTGTCCATATTGGGAAGCCAGTCTTAGTTCTAGAGGCCTAATATTGATAGACAATGCGTACGTAGATGTGTAAGGGCTGCCACAAAAAATGGAAGGGCTGCCTGCTGTAGGAATGTATAATGGGTAGAGGAAGACAAGGAAGATCTCCTTGAGGAAGTGGTTTATGAATGAGACATGAAGGGGGAGGGGCTTTGGTCAGACTTATTTCCTCTTCTAAAGCTGGGTTTAGAAGAAGCTGTGGCACTAGGGACATCATTGCCAATGTCAAATGGATCTTGGTCAAAAGCAGACAGTACGAGAGGAATGTATATCTGTGTTTCATTGATTATGCAAAGGCATTTGACTGTGTGGATCACAACAAATTGTGGTTAACCTTGAGAAGAATGGGAATCCAAGAACACCTGATTATGTTCTTAGGAAACCTATACTCGGACCAGGAGGCAGCCGTCAGAACAGAGCAAGGAAACACTGCATGGTTCAAAATCAGAAAAGGAGTGTGTTGGGGATGCCTCTAGTTTCCATACCTTTTCAATTTGTATGCATAACATATCACCCAGGAAGCCGGACTTTATGAGGAGAAATACAGCATCAGGATTGAAAGAAGACTGATCAACAACCTGCATTATGCAGATGACACAACCTTGTGTGTTGAACCTGAGGAGGACCTGAAGCACTTGCTGCAGAGGGTCAAGGACTGTAATTTGTAATATGGATTGAAGCTCAACATCAAGAAAATAAAGACTTTTATCACTGGGCCAATCATCAGCATCATGATAGATGAAGAAACTAAGACTGTTAACAATTTCAGCTTGCTAGGTTCCATAATCAACACTCTTGGCACCAGCAGTCAGGAAATCAAAAGATGAACTACTTTAGGAAAATCTACTGTCAAGGACTGCTTCAAAGTGCTGAAGAGCAAGGATGTCAGTCTAGAGACTAAGGTGCACCTGACCCAGGCATTGGTCTTCACAATTACTTGCTGTGCACGAGAGCTGGACAATGACCAAAGATGACAGTAGAAGAATTGGTGCCTTTTAGTTGTGACACTGGAGAAGAGTATTAAATATACCATGAACTGCCAAGGAAACTAACAGGCCTGTCCTAGAGAGTATGAAACCCAACTGCTCCTTGGAGGCATGGGTTTTGATACTCCATCTCACATACTTTGGGCATATAGCCAGGAAGGACTAGTCTTTGGCCTGGCAAGAGCTGCATTGCAAGCCCAAATGCACGCAGTTCCATGTGAGAAGGATGGACAATCTTCTTCCGTGCAATTAACTGCCTTGGAAAACCCACTGGAGGGTCAGCTATGGGTCAGTTCCAACTATGTGGTACACAACAACAACATCATGTTTGGAAGGGGCAAGGGGCAGTACAGGAGAGAAGACCTCAGATAGATGAATTGACAACAATAAATGGGGTAATGAGGGTATGTGTGTCATAGACAGTGAAACTGGCTCAGCATAGAGCAGGGTCCAGAGCTACTGTGCATAAGGTCGCTATGAGTTGTAGTCAACTCAAGGCACATTTCTACTTCTATTTCACCCTTTGTGTTTGGTGTTCAGTAAGTGTTTGTTATTGTTGTTATGTGCCCTCGAGTTGCATACAACTAATAGTGACCCTATGTACCCCACCCAATCCTGGGTCAATCTCACCATCTTGTACACATCTGCTCCATAACTCCAATTACTGTGTCAATCCATTTCATCCAAGGTCTTCTTCTCCTGTGCAGATCCTCTACCCTTCCAAGTGTGATGTTCTTTTCTAAGGACTGGTCCCTCCTGGCCACGTGCCCAAAGTATATGAGATGGAGATTCAAAATTCTTACCTCCAATGAGCAGCTTGGTTTCCCCTTTTCCAGGACATACCTGTCCTCTTGGCAGTCCACAGTGTGTTCAATACTCTTCTCCAGCACAATAACTCAACAGCATCAATTCTTCTATGATCTTTAGTCATTGCCCAGCTCTTTGATGCACAGCAAGCAATTGCAAAGACCATGGCCTGGATCGGGTACACTGTATTCTCTAGACTGACATCGTTGCTCTTCAAAACTCTTGCTTGGTCCCTGACAGCAGATTTATCTAATGTAATTCATTTTTTTATTTCCTGACTGCTGGTGCCAAGAGTGCTGATTGTGGAACAAGCAAGCTAAAATGATAAACAATCTCAATCAATCTCTGTCATGGTGCTGTGAACGGGCCTAAAGGTGAAAATCTTTGTTTTCTTGATGTTTTGCTTCAATCCATATTGGAGACTACAGTCTTTGACCTTATAGCAAACACTTCAGTTTCAACAAGCAAAGTTGTGTCATCTGCATAATACAGGTTGTTGATGAATCTTCTCCAATCCTGATGCCACATTCCTCCTCATAAAGGCTCCTGAACGTCTGTTGCACAAATAAATTGAAAAGATATAGAAACAGGAGGCATCCTCCACACACTCCTTTTCTGACTTTGAATCATGCAGTGTTTCCCTTCTCTGTTCTAATGACTGCTTCCTGGTCCAAGTATAGTTTCACATGAGAACATCTAGTTGTTCTGGGATTCCCATTCTCAAGGTTAGTCACAATTTGTCATGATCCACACAGTTAAATGCCTTTTCCATAGTCAATGAAACACAGACATTGCTGTGGTACTCTCTGCTGTCAGCCCAGATCCTTGTGACATTGGCAATGATAGTGCCACAGCTTCTTCTAAACCCAGCCTGCACTTCTGACAGTTCTCTGTCCATGTATTGTTTCAGTCAGTTTTTAGTAATCTTCAGCAGGATTTTGCTTGTGTGTGGTATTAGTGATGTTGTTCAGTAATTTTCACATTCTATCAGATTACCTTTTTTTTTGGAATGAGTATAAATATGAATCTCCTCTCTGGTCAATTGGACAAGTAGTAGTCCTCCAGAATTCTTGGCACAAGCTGATGAACATGTCCAGGACAGCGTTTGTTTGTTGAAATATGACAGTTGGTATGCCATCAATTCTTGGGGCCTTGTTTTTGCCAATATCTTTAGAGCAGCTTTAATTTTGTCTTTCATCACCATTGCCTCTTGGTCATAAGTAGTTTCATAAAATTCTTCTGTGTCAGCCAGCTCTTTTATGTTTCATCCTCTCCAAGACAGACATATTTGTTTTCTTGTCCCTCCATGGTATATTCAAGACTTTTCTCCAGCACAACAACTCAAAGGCACTGATTCTTCTTCTGTCATCCTTAGTTATTGTCCAAC